GATAAGAACAGGGGGGACAGAGGCCGGCGTCAGGGCGGGCCCGCGCATGTTCAAGGCGGTCACAAATTCCCCGCCAAGATGCAGATTGAAATAACACACGCAGCTTGGTGTGACGTGTCAGCTGCTGGGAGCATTAACGATGGCCAGTCAGGCCCACGCCCCTCTATACCCTCGCCAGGTTTTATGCAACTGCTTTTCTAATTATTTTTTTGGCTACGTATGTGATGTTAAAGAATTGATAACATATATTATTATCTTCCACTATACTTATACTTACGAAATGAATGGTATGGTAAACAACACAGCTCAATTCCAACATAAAAATAATAAAATAAAAAATAAAATAATAAAAATCTATGAAAATAAAATTTATCAATGGAATTGGAAACATTGAAATGGAATTCTTGACATATTTAGTATAGCGTGCATGTTCCTATTATGTGCAACAGATGGAGCTGTTTTTCAAAAATGCATGGTTTTACCTGTCACAGGGGTGGCATCTATATAGTAGGTATATAAAAGATGCGCCTATTTGAATGCAACATTATGTCAAAATTTCAAGTAAATCGGTGAAGAACTTTTGGAGATTACAGCATGTGATGCTCTTACGTCCAACAGATGGCGTTGATTTAAAAAAAAATCATGTTTTTTCCTGTCACAGGTGAGGCATGTATATAGTAGATATATAAAAAGACGCGCCTATTCGAATGCAACGTTGTACCAAAATTTCAAAGCAATCGTTAAAGAGGTTTCGAAGATTTCCCTCACATGAAAAAACAGTTTTTCAGAAAAATAATGTTTTTTTTTTACCGTCACAAACGTGACATCTGTATAATATGTATATAAAAATCTGCTCGGATGTGAATGGAACGTTGTGTGAAATTTAAAAGCAATCGGTGAAGAACTTTCAGAGAATAGCGATTATGCACAAACGAACATTTCTATTTATATTTATTTATATTATACTAGCAGTACCAGGCCACACGTTGCTGTGACTTAGCAAAGCATGTGCGTTCCTGAGCCACAGCAACCTTCCCTGCCCTCCAGTCCTCCCCACCATTTCCCCTTCTCCTCAACCTCCCAACCATTCTCCATTCCCCCATCCCCTCGTCCCCACCATCCCAAACTCCCCCATCCCCTCATCCTTCCCCACTATTACCCCCTCCCTTGTCCCCTCATCCTCCCCACCAGCTCTAACTTCCGTCCCCTCGTCATCTCCACCATTCCCCACTCCCTCATCCGATGCCTTCCCAAATTGTGTGATGTTCCCATCAGAAAATTGGAAACATCAAGTGATCTGATGTTCCCATCACTGAAATATAAGAAAAACAGTTAGAAAATGACATGAAAAGATGAAAATTAAAAAAATAAACTATACTCACAAAATGAACTGTATGGAAAACAACACAGCTCAATTCCAACACAATTCACACAAAATAATTAAATCAAAGTGAAAATATATCAAAATCTTTGAAAAATAAATTTATCAATGCAATCAGAAACATTGAAATGGAATTGTAACATATTTAGTATAGCATGTGGGTTGCTCTTACATGCATTAGATGGCGCTGTTTTTCAAGAAAAGCATAGTTTTACCTGTCACAGGTGTGGCATCTATACTTATCCTTACGAAATGAATGGTATGGTAAACAACACAGCTCAATTCCAACACAATGTCACACAAAATAATTCAATAAATCATAATCTATGAAAATAAAATTTATCAGTGCAATTGGAAACAATGAAACGGAATTCGTGACATATTTAGTATTGCGTGCATGTTGTTATTATGTCCGACAGATGGCGCTGTTTTTAAAAAATACGCATGTTTTTACCTGTCACAGGGGTGAGTCTGGCCCTAGCTTCGGTACGGGGCGGACGTGTTGAATCGGCGCTCCAGCAGTTGGTGTTGTTTGCCCGTTTCGGCTGGTTGGGGGCGGGTGTGTCTCTGCTCGCCTGTGCTGACGTGGCGTTACGATGGGGGTCCCTCTACCCCCTGTCGTCCGGGCTCAGTCTGTGGGACTAGAGTTCTCTGTGCGGGCTGGTTACCCGGAGATTGCCCTGGCTTGTGAAATGCTCTCTGTCCCTGTGTTTGCGATTTATGGGGTCGAGTTGGTAACGGCCCGTAGGGCAATTGTGAAGTTTGCAGAGGAGGTGGCGTATCGCGATTTTCTCCGGCGATACGAGGGGCGGACACTGCCCCTGCCGGATGGTGCGGGCACTGTCACCCTCTCGGATAGGAGTGGTGCACTTACTTACATCAGTGTGCATGGGGCTCCCTTGGAGTTTCCAGAGGCTCTGCTACGGCGGTATTTCGGCCGGTTTGGCGCAGTTGTTAGTGTGAGAGTGAACGTGGTGTCTTCTAGTCCTCTTAAGGGTGTGAGGTCTAACATTCGCACCCTGGGCATGAGACTCCGGGCGGATATTCCGTCCTCTGTGCGCCTTATGGGGTACAACGTTCGGGTGTTTTACGCCCGTCAGCCGCGGACGTGTTATCGTTGTGGTCTTTTGGGCCATCAGGCTGCTGACTGTTCTGCGCCTGCTGTTGCACCAGTGAATCTCTTCAGTGAGGAGGATTTTCCGCCCCTTCCTGTGGGGGATGATTCGGTGGGTATGGACGTCTCTTCGGCTGAGGAGGTGCCCTCTGTAGCAGCTGTTGCTCCGCCTGTTGCGCCCCCTGTTGTTGCCGCATCTCCTCCGGAGGTTGGGTCCTCGCCTAGTGCTCCAGCTGGTGTCCCTGAGCCTCTTCCGCCTGCCGTTTGCTCGGACCCCTCGTCTTCCAGTTCTTCCTCTGCTGTGTCTGTCCCGGTCCCTGCGCCCTCGCCGTCTGTTCCGGCTGTGCTGGGAGCTGAGGTGGTTCCGGCATTCCCTCCTGTGCCTGGCCTGGTGCCCCGTGTGGTTGAGGAGGCTGCCGTGCTGCGGCGTGCGTCGGTTCGCTCGGTTGGTGCTGCGCGGGTCGCTGAGTCTGCCTCCGGGTCTGATGATGTGCGGCCCGAGCCTAAGCGTTCCCGGCGTTCTTCTGCGTGGGCTGATGTTGGCGAATTCGACGAGTGTCGTCCTTCCGTTGACGGTGGAGTGGCTCCGGATGTGGTGCACACTACGGTGGTGGCGGAGGTACACTTGCCTGAGGATGCCGGTGCCGGCGTTTCGGCCTCAACTTCTGGTCCGGTGTCCGAGGGTCCTGCTTCAGGTGCGTTGCCTGCGTCGGATGGCTCCGGTTCTTCGTGGGCGGTGGTTCCCCCTGCTGTAGTTGGTGGTGAGCGGGGTGGCCTGGTAGTGATGTTGAGAAAGGATGCTCGCTCTGGATGTTCTGTGGCCCCTTCCTCGTTACCCGTTTCCTCGGCAGCGGTCTTGCCGCCTCTTCCGTTTCCTGCAGTCCCTTCCGTGTCTCCTGCGGTATCCGTGGAAGTGCTATCGTCTCAGCGTCCGGCACCTGCTCCGATGAAGAAGGCGTGGCAGGCTCGGCGACCCTCGTCCGCTTCTCCGGTGTCATCTGCTTCCTCGAAGGGCGTGGTTGGCGCTCCCCAGCCTCGTTATGCGACTTGCGTCAGTGACCTTGGGCGTTGGCCGATGCCGCCAGATATAGATGTTCCCGAGTTTATGATACCCGCTCGAGAGCGGGGGATCGAAAACCCTACCGACCTTGAAGATCTAGTCTGGGAAGCTTACAAGGCGAAATATCCTCATGATCTTTTCCCGGAGAAGTACATTTCTCACGAGGTTCCTCGCAAGTGATTTCTATGTATTTTGTGTTGCCTGGTTGTGGGGTGTGTATGTGAGTGGGTGGGGTGGGTATTGTTTCCCGGTTCCTGCGTGCTCCGGTTTGTATTGTGGGTTTTCTTGTATGGCTAGTGGGGGGGGTGTGCGGTTCCTATGCGTTTGTGTGTTCGGTTGTGGATGTCGTGTGCGCTTGTTTGTCATCTTGTGTGCCCTTCAGGCTGTTGGGGTGTGCTCTTTGTTATGTGTGCATTATGTGTGTGAGGTGTTAGCAGACTTGTTTTGTATGTTTCTCGCCTCTCTGTTTCCCTTATGTTTGTATTACGCTGTGTTTATATTTGTGTTATGTTTGTATATGCATTTTTGTTTTGTGGTCAGCCCTTCTGGCTGGTCTTCTCTTGATTTGTTCCTTTGTCATTGTACGTGTGTGTGCTTTGTACTTTTGTTCTATGTTATATTTGTTCTGTTTTTATTGTACATTATACGCATGCTTGCATGTAAAAATAAAAAAAAAAAAAAAAACCACAGTCATACTCGTGATTGGTTGTTACATAATCTTTGCTGTATCCTGTGTTTCCAACTTATTCTCGTCCCTACAGGAGAGTTCTCATTCAGACAGATCACCCCCTTTGGTACCATGGTACTTTGGTCTGTCTTCGGGTCAAGTACACCCATATCTTTGCAACCCGAACATAAGATGATATTGAGGGTCAAAGTTCCTCTCGCACAGACTATGCTGTAAGGTTGGAACCCCAACAAACAGTTCGTAATTACTTGACACTTAGCACCCTATGTGTCGGTCAGAGATATGGTACTTACACAGGTAGGGAGTTAACATTCTTTTCCAGAGCACAAAGATTGTTAATTCTGTAAGTACTATCTAGTTTTAGTAGGAAACCTCTTACCTTTGCTCTCGTCATTAGAGACAAAAGTAAGAAATCCCTACATCTTATGGACTACCTTCGAGACAATTGTCACAACATTCATGTAGGATCCCTCTTGCCCTTATCCTCGTCATATAGAGTACCGTGTACAAGCTTCCCAACTTTCTTGAAATGCTTAGTTTCATTTTTTATCTTGATTGTAACCTTGATTATTAAGTTTAAACAGGATAGTTTAACGTTGCCACGTCATCCTGTCACTCTGACATTTCATATTTTGGTACATCCACCTGAGTATTCTCTTGTATATATTTACTATCATTCACCATGTTTCATCTTTCCACATTTAGATAAAATCCAAACGATGAAGTGGGGACACTAGTTCGTGCCACCAAGGCGGAGATGCTGACTCTAGTAAATGAGTACCACCTTACAGCCCCACATGGAGCCACTAAAACTGATCTGCACAACCTTATCCAGGACCACTTATTAGACAATGATGCTATTACTCCTGAATCTCATGAACATTACTTAATTGAAGACAAGAACGCCTTGGCAGCCATAAAATTGAAGCTAGAACTCGCTAATGCTGAACATGAACGTCTGAAAGAACAAGCTGCCTTTGAGAAGGAAGCTCTCCAAAGGAAGGAACGAGAAGCTGAGCTTCAACTTAAGCTCGCTGAAAAACAAGCCGAACTTGAGAAAGAACAAGCTGCCCTACAACGTGTGCAGGTTGAATTACAACGTGAGCGTGAGAAGGAAACTCTTCAGCTCGCTAAAAAACAAGCTGCCCTACAACGTGAGCAGGTTGAATTCCAACGTGAGTGTGAGAGGGAACAGCTCGAAGTAAAAGAACGCGAGCTGAAGATACAACGTGAACATGAGAAGAAACAAGCCGACATGACTCTAGACCACCGTAGAAAAGAACTCGACTTGGAAACTACACACCACACTCGGCCTTTTCCCATGACAGGAATTCAACTTCTCTTGGGTAATGACTTGGCAGAAGATCAACACCTGCGAATGTAATTATCAAGGAAGATCCCCAGGTATGTGACTCGGCAGTGGAAAATCCTGTTTTGCAGTTGGTTGAAGAGGTCCAATCAAAAGATTCTGAAGACATCTTCCCTCCTATTATGGTGACGAAGCGGGCCACAGCTGCTGCAGCTGTTCCTCAAGATCCTCCGAGCCTCCCACCAAATCTCACAGTGCTGGAATTCCGTAAGTTGCAGAGAGAGGATCCCTCCTTACCATCTTTATTCTTAAAGGCTGAGACACAACCTAACTCTATCCCAGGTTTCTTTGTGGAAAAGAATGTGTTGTACTGGCATTATAGAACCAGGAAATTGAAGGTGAACGACGATAGGGCCAACATCAAACGACTGGGGCCTACGATCAGATATCTTGCATCTGGTCCGGGGATCTCGCTCACACTATGGCTTCTACAAGACCTACAAGGCCCTGAAACAGGACTACTACTGGCCAGGTATGATTCGAGACATTAAACACCATGTCAAAAATTGTCACATGTCTCAGATGACAGGTAATGGCTTGTTGACTCCTTAGGTCCCTTGCACCTTCAGCCTGAAGTCTCCAAAGAAATTTGTTGACTTACTGCGGGGAACACGGGTCACAGGGATAAGAGCCTCGATGGACATAGAATCACTGTTTACCAACGTACCTGTGGATGAAACAATCCACACTGCAGTCTACACTAAGGAAACAAACATAGGAATGTGCCTCAATGCCAACAGTGACTGCCCAGACAGGTACAAGAGGAGTGTCATTAACGCTTATGTCGACTGTGCTCTCGGCCACAGCTCAGGATGGAAGCAAGTCGATTAAGAACTCTGTAGGGTAAGGCAGGTCCTAGTCAACAACGGCTTCTCCAATGGTTTTGTTGAAGACATCATAAGAAGGAAGGTGAAACGCCATGCAACCTCTGAAGAGACAACTAACACAACACCTGTACCCCCTATTAGACTATTTTACAGGAACTTCTTTTCTACAGCTCATACAACGGAGGAAAGGGTCCTGAAAGATATTGTTAATAGAAACGTTATCCCTACAGACAAAAATCAGAAGATACAATTGACGATTTACTATAAAATCAAGAAAGCGGCCAACCTACTCATGAGAAACTCTCCAGACACAAAGCAGAACGCTTTAAAAGAGACCAATGTCGTCTATGCCTTCAAATGCCCACTTGGGGACTGTAAGCCTCAAAGAATTCAGTATATAGGCAAGACAACAACATCTCTTTCCAGGCGATTAACGATGCATAAGGAACAGGGCTCCATTAAGGAACATATAATCTCTTCCCACAACCAGACCATCACCAGAGAAGTCATAACAAAGAACACGGAAATCATCGATAGATACAGCGATAGCAGGCGGCTTGATATATGCGAGGCACTACACATTAAGAAGTCGACACCAGCAATCAACAGCCAATTAATGCACAACTATATTCTACCCACTTCCAGACTCCTCACCAATATAGAAGCATCAAGAAATATGGGCCAATAGGCCCTTTGCAGTTACTTCCATTCTTCCCTTTAACTTACAAAATATTATACCCATTGTTTCGTGTTCTGTCTTGTGTTGAAAGTTTGTTTTCATCTCATCCAAAACGGTTGTAACATATCACCTCACCCAAACGCAGGTATAAAATCAAAGCTGTTTAGTGTTTGCAAGTTATAGTTGTGTGTGTGTACACTAAAGTCTTTGAAAATGTAGCAAGTTATTACGAACCGCGTTCAAGTGTCGCGTCAGACTAGAAATAAAAAGGAATTTTGGAGAATTGATTTTTCAATTACCATCAACAGTGAAAAGAAATAAAAGAAATATTGAGAAAATTCGTGTTAGAATTATTAATCTTACTTTTTCGGTCATATATTAATAATATGTCTACAGGAAAGACTGCTACCAATATATATATATATATATATATATATATATATATATATATATATATATATATATATATATATATATATATTTTTTTTTTTTTTTGATATATACAAGAGTTGTTACATTCTTGTACAGCCACTAGTACGCGTAGCGTTTCGGGCAAGTCCTTAATCCTATGGTCCCTGGAATACGATCCCCTGCCGCGAAGAATCGTTTTTTCATCCAAGTACACATTTTACTGTTGCGTTAAACAGAGGCTACAGTTAAGGAATTGCGCCCAGTAAATCCTCCCCGGCCAGGATACGAACCCATGACATAGCGCTCGCGGAACGCCAGGCGAGTGTCTTACCACTACACCACGGAGACTGATATATATATATATATATATATATATATATATATATATATATATATATATATATATATATATATATATATATATATATATATATATATATATATATATATATATATGTCGTACCTAGTAGCCAGAACGCACTTCTCAGCCTACTATGCAAGGCCCGATTTGCCTAATAAGCCAAGTTTTCATGAATTAATTGTTTTTCGACTACCTAACCTACCTAACCTAACCTAACCTAACTTTTTCGGCTACCTAACCTAACCTAACCTATAAAGATAGGTTAGGTTAGGTTAGGTAGGGTTGGTTAGGTTCGGTCATATATCTACGTTAATTTTAACTACAATAAAAAAAATTGACCTCATACATAATGAAACGGGTAGCTTTATCATTTCATAAGAAAAAAAATTGAGAAAATATATTAATTCAGGAAAACTTGGCTTATTAGGCAAATCAGGCCTTGCATAGTAGGCTGAGAAGTGCGTTCTGGCTACTAGGTACGACATATATATATATATATATATATATATATCAGGTGTGATTGGCCTGTTATGTTGAACAATGTCTTCTGTGTTGGCATCGTTATGTTCTGGTCTTCTTACTCGCATGGTGGGTAGAGTAAATAGTTCCGTGATTTGGGTGTTCATAGTAGGTTGTTCTATTCTTATGTGAATTGCTTCAAGAATTTGTAATCTTCCAGCATCTTGGGTTTTATCTATTATACAGGTATTTTTGTTCAATATTTCTCTTGTTAGGGTGATGTTATGGGCTTGTCTCATGTGATTCCTGGGGGCACCGGATTGAAGATGACTTCAATCAAACGCCTCGTCAGCTTGGTCGACGTCATACCTATGTACTTAGACAGAAGGTTACATCCTTCGTGGGATCAAGTATACATGTATACAATGCTTGACTGCTGTAGAGGGTTCTCCGTCGGCTTCAGGCTGTTTTTGATAAGGAGTTTGGAAGTCTTCTTGGTTTTGTAGAATATGATCTGATCATATCACATACCGGCCTCCACACCCAGCCGCGGCCTCCACACCCAGCCGCGGCCTCCACACACAGTTGCTGGCTCCACACCCAGTTGCTGGCTCCACACCCAGTTGATGCCTCCACACCCAGTTGATGCCTACACACCCAGTTGATGCCCCCACACCCAGTTGATGCCTACACACCCAGTTGATGCCTCCACACCCAGTTGATGCCCCCACACCTAGTTGATGCCTCCACACCCAGTTGATGCCTCCACACCCAGTTACTGGCAGTTGCTTGGCCATGACCCAGTGTGTTTGCCCGCCTCTATAGAACAATGCACAGTTTAACTCTCCCAACCGAGTTGAAATGGAAGGGGTCCCAGCGGTCGGGCAGGACTCTACAAGCCTTGAGGTGCCAACAACTGCTCCTAAAAGAGGATTTTGCCGAGTATGCAACAAAAACACCGCAATAAAAGCCAACGGTGGTGTCATCCGCTTTCACACCGTCAACGAGGTAAAATGCAGTGGTTCCCACCAGCTTCCAAAGGGAAGCAATGCCCAGCTGCCATTAACAGTTAGGGAAGAGACTCCCAATCTCATCTTAACCTAATCTCATCTGAAAACCTCACCCAAGCAATCATAGCGACGTCTGCTAGAACATTACCACACATCCCAATAGCCGCCCTCCCAAATGCAGCAGCCAAACTCTGTAATCTTCTGAAAAGGGTCAATGATGCCCCGGAAAACATTCAAGCATGTTTGGCAATGTATGCCTCACCATCCCTCCAAGGAGGGACAAATCACTTGCATCCTTGGTCCTGAGGGCGATAAATGAATACCCAAGGGGGGATAACCTAGTTCTCCTGCCTCTTTGAGCAAAACACACCCACCGCAGAAATGGTAACAACAACATACTGGAAGCGCACAAAATGAGAGCACAAATCACCAAGAAAATTGAGGAGGAAAATACCGCAAATGCTATTAGAGTCCTTACCAGAGACGAGAAAATTGCTCCTCGAAACTCAGCCACAGCGCGGGCCCTGCAAAGCAAGCACCTACCCAGAGCCCCTCAAGGCGACAACATCGTTCCGCCACCAGCCGACACCATTTCAGACCCATTAACTGTTAGTGAATCTCAGGTCTACAAAGCAGCCATTTCTTTTCCACCTGGGTCAGCAGCGGCTTTACAGGGTTAAAGTCTCAACACATCAAGCAAATGTTAAATCTTGTGGATGTGATGCTGCACAAGATCTTCTTATGGAACTCACAAGGTTCGTCAACATGTGCATGGCTGGTGATATATCTCAGGTCATCAGGCCTCTCTTTTTTGGTGCCTCCCTCCATGCTCTCCAAAAGAAGGACGAAGGAATCAGGCCAATCGCTGTTGGCAACACTCTCCGACGCCTGATTGCCAAGGCTACTACGAGGGTTGTCAGCAAGCAAGCGGCTGAATTGCTGAAACCAATCCAGCTAGGATTTGGAATCCCCCAAGGCTGTGAAGTGGCTGCTCATGTAGCACGAGCATACATCACCAACATTTCTGATGAAAAGGCCCTGCTCAAACTGGACTTCAAGAATGCCTTCAACATGGTCAGAAGAGATGCAGTACTTTGTGCCGTACATCGCCATTTCCGGCCCCTCTACCCGTTCATACTATCGTGCTACAGTGGTGAGTCAAAACTGCTCTTTGGTGAACATGAAATCAGATCAAGTGAAGGTGTTCAGTAAGGTGATCCTCTTGCTCCCCTTCTTTTCTGCTTAGTCTTAAAAGAAATCACCGAAAGCTTGTCCAGCGAGATCAACATCTGGATTTTGGATGATGGCACCATAGCTGGCACCGTAAACCACCTCTTGGCAAATACGAGGAAAATAAGGGAGCAAGAAGTAAGGCTGTGAAGTAGTCTCCTCCAACCCAGACATTGTAGCTAGAATAAGGTCTGCTTTGCCTGGAGTCCATGTCATTAGAGCCGAGAACA